TTAATTACAGTTTTATAGTTTACATAAACGTATACATTCAACTAAATAAAAATACGTTCTAGCTTCTGATAAAGTTTGCAGTTATATTGTACTCCAACCGTTGTCTAACAAAACAATGACGATAGAATTATGAACCATAAGTCAGGAAAATACATTTTAGCAATCTGATTGAAAGGACGAAACAGATTTTCTGAACTGCAAATGTATAAAGAATAATAAATGGACATGGAAACAAAAACTTAAATGTAAAGGATAAGCTCATAGTTCTCGCAAGAGGCTTCAAATGTTTGGTTAAAGGACTAGCATCGCGTAATATCGCGTCTTCAGATATGTAAACGTTTAAAGTTCATATGCGCTTGAATCAAACGTCTGACAGACAAACAACGAAAAATATGAGGAATGATAACAATGGTAATATAATTCGTGAAGAAATAGACTTTAAATAAACAGAACATAATAGTTTAATTTTCTAAATATCATATCTGACACAACGTTTGTTTCACAAGTGCTACTAAGACAGACAATCTTCCTGTCTACTTCCATTGGACATTACAACATAAAACATAACGAACTGAGAGTGGACGAATGTTACAAAATTTTTCTAATTAAGAAAAAATATTCATGTTGTTTTAGTAAGCTGATAATAAACAAATATGAAATGTGAATGCCGATGCATAAAATAATGGTGAAAAAAGGACAAGCACCTTCACACGATTGTCGTTTTTTTCTTTATCTAAAAATGATAATCATATAATTATATAAAGGCTACTCTGGAAAGGTCACAAGTACATTTCTTTATTAAATACACACAGACATTAAGTTCATTTTCCAAGTTTATCTCGAACATGGGTCCTGTAGTACATTATGGCCAAGAGTGTATATAGCAATATTTTAAGACTTGGCTATTAAAAAGCAACAAACTGCCAGTCTTTTACCTGCAATGAGGAGGACAAATTCCCAATAATTCCAAAGTTTGTTACATTTTAAAAGGTTAATTTGCGCACCGAAAGGCAAAGGTAGTTTTAAATGAGATCATGCCATGATAATTGTTTTCAATTAAAAATTTACAGTCGATGTAATGTCTTTTTAGAATTACGATGATTCTATAAATTTCCTTTGCAATATATCGTTGACGTTAAACTGACATAAAGAGTGGGACAGTTTTTGTTATTTAAGGCAGTTGTTTTATTGTATCCTAAAACATTTGTTAATTATTAATTATTAGTAAATGACCATTTAAATAGTTTTTTTGTTTTTATTAACAGTCATTTCAGCTCAAATCGACATAGAAATGAATAGCATAATGTAAATTTACTAATATGTTGACTAAGTAAGCAAAATGTCACTTCAATAATACACGGATAAATCATAGAAATAAGCATTACATACCCAATTTAATTTGTTTTAAAGATTAAAAGACTTATAGGCCTTAAGCTATTAAAATTATACTGTTTTATTTTATGCTTTTCAGTGGATTACTGATTTATCCGTGAAAATTATATTTGATAATTTCACAGTGAAAATTATCAAAATATAATTTCACACTTTTCAATGACGAAACTACTTTTTTTAGATTTTTCCCATGTGGTACCTCAATTTTATTTTTGCTAACAATTCTGACAGTGTCAGGCTGTTTAAAGAAAACGCAAAGCTGCAATTGATAATCAACTTAAATGTCAAAAGTAATGAAAAGAAGAAAACTTACTTCTATTCATTCAAATTCCAATCACCAAATTTCATCTCTAAATTTTTTGTTTCATTTTTACAGTCTGACAAATACATTCCTTCCACATGCAAACTGCTCTTGATGACATTTGGGCACATTAAAGTATCCTACGAGCAATAACTGCTGTATGCTTTATGAAAAATTGAAAAGCAATGCCAATGACAGCTATCACCTCGTAGAACAATTAAACCACCCCAGCGTTCCGAGCAAGTTCCAAGTTTTCCATTTCATAGCTGCTTTTTTTCATGTTTTTCACATCTGTCAACACTTATTTTTTGTCTGTTTCAATCCTCAAATATGTTTTCTTTCTTTTAAAAAGGTGTATGACTAACAAATCCAAATGATATCCCTCTGAATCAAACACAATTATTTTCCTCCCGTGAAATACACAACTTTAAAAAATGGCTGCCGCTTACATTTAAAAAAGCCAGGTCTAATATAAATACGCAGTAAGTAACAGAAATATGGATGGATGGTTGGAATTTTTCTCCTACAAGAATTGTTTGTTTTTATTATTAAAACAAGCGATCATTCATATTTTTTTAACAAAATAAATAATATCACTGTCATTTAACGTTGATTGTCGGACTTATTTTACAGCTCAAGACTTCTTGTTTTTAATGAGATATCCGACTAAATGGGGCTCTCAATGGGGAAAACAGATTTTAATATTTACGTTTATATTATGGAAATTTTGTTTTTACTTGTTTTTTAGCATAAAATAAAAAGAAAATTTGTTTGTTTGTTGTGTAAGATTTAATTTTATTTCATTTCGTGAACTTTAAAAACAGTATTCTCACTCGTGGCTACGCCACTCGTGAGAATACTGTTTTTAAAGCCCACTCGATGAAATAAAATTTCATCTTACACACAAACAAACAAATATCCTCTATTTATTTTTTGTTATGTTAAAACAGTTAAAATGGATTTGTCAATGAAGACGTTTTCTATGAGAACATTGTATTTCAAAAATTTATAAAGAACAATATATTTTTTGGATAATCTTATAAAACATTTCTATCAAAATTTGAAATTGAACTCTATGTGATTTAGTTCGAACAATTATACGATAAATGATAATATTTTGTTCGAGAAGAACAATATATTTTCTGCTATATATTAAAGATAAGAGATATCAGACCATGTATCTCACACTTACAAACAACATTTGTATATATGGTTTGTTGTCACACAGAATACTAAAGACTGTCCACATAGTTTTTCATGATCATATAGATCTTCCATCATGCACCAACCAACTTCCTTTAAATGATTTTAATAATGCTTCCATATTAAGTAACTCAATACAGAAAAACGACCCTCTCACATGTATCAATCTTAAATCCCTTTGTGTTTTCCTTTTCTTTTCAGAATGTTGCGATTTATAATCATGATAACAGTCATTGTCTTACATGATGACAGAACAAAAATATGTCCAACAGGATTGACAGATACTTGTTTTCTGGGCATATTTTTATCAGTTAACCGTATTGAATGATTCAGACGACATAATTAAGGTAAACATTTCGAAAATGTACATTAGCAGAGTCGGTGCGTAGATCGTTATGTTTATGTAAAACCTTATGGTTAACAGGACATTGTTCATGACGGCTAACCGGAACTTTCATTGAATGTCATTATTATTTACAAATATAACACATTTACACACTCCTCTTGTAACCATGTTTCAACAGTTATCTTGATTTTTGAAATGAAATGAATATCATCTCTTCTTAACTTAACCATTTCGACAGAAACATAAATAATTAGATCAAAATGATCATAATAGTCCATAATACATGTTATTACTAAGAAATGAAATCGAAAGCACCATATTTATACATGTATAAGGAATTAATAAGTTTAAAATCATCCACATTAAAACCATTTCAACAATAACATATTTTCAGATTAAAATGGTCCTATTTAACAAAACAGTTTCGAAATTTAAATACAATTGAGATAAAAACTGACATTTTATTTTAAATGTCGCGGACAGGTTTCATTTTCAGTAATAGAAATGTTTATATTTGAATGTCTCTTAATTAATTAATACTTATGTAGAAATGATCAAAATGTTGCGGACTGATTGGTTTCTTCAGAAACGTAGAAACATACTTACAATTGGTAATAATGTATTTAAATGTTAAACAGTGCGAGAATGATATGCTGATTAAACGGGTTATTATATAATGGCAAGCTGTCGCCGATTTATAAATCAAATGTACCAAAGAATGTCAATAAAGCAACTATCAAATTCGACTTAAAATGATTTCTACCACTAGAGACAGACATACATGCACTTCCACCGATGTCGATATACACATCTATGACATTTATGCAAAAATATAAAAAAAGAACAAACAGCCAAGTAACCTTGACTAAAGTTTTATTTAATTTTACCGTTTTATTTCATTTCATCTCAGATTTACCTTCAACCATTTCAGACAAAAATAAGACTCACCTTTATACCGTCTTATAAACCAATAAAGTCCACTTAATTTACAACTGACCGTCTAATCGATGATGTTAAATTGTCAATTTATGTTTCATCATCGATTTACAATGATGTGACAAAGGAATGGATTATGGTGTTATAAACTATTTTAAAACGAACATATGACAGGTAAATTTTACTGTATCAAAATGTACACAGAGCAGCAGATTAAATATAATATTATTATACATGTAATATAATATTAGAAGTTTAGTATAACTAGTGCATTATATCAGGAGATTTGAACCGTATACATTAGATAAAAAACCTGCCTTTAGGGAAATAGAGGTGAATAAAAATGACCACGGTATGATATATCAATCATTGTATTGGGAATTATAACAACTAAGTTTATTTCCATAATCTATAGGTCTGTTTAACTTTCAAATGCACTTCTGGTATTGAAAAATGTTCATGAATTTTTTCTTGACTAATATCATCAAACGTATAGAAGATAATTTGAAAAATAAATTTTTTGAATAATAAGCTATATATCAAAAAATGATTTCATAAGATCTATAATCACTGAAAGAATGCTGTTACCGTATTAAATGGTCGATTCATCAAAACGTTGTAAGATAGAATGTCGCTGCTACTTAACACACGTGAATATTGCCCGTTAACAGAATAACATTTTTTCTGGGACAAACTATGCTGCTAACATCAGTAGGAATTTTACCATTTATCGGTGACTTAGTGCACCCACCATTTGCCTTTTAGGAAATTAACAAGCCCATACCATCATTCAAACAATTTCGAAGTTTAGTTTTTTTCAAAATTTAAACAATACTTGTTCAGCAGATATATACTTTTATACACTTTTATTATTCCACGAACATTAACTCTATCGGTGCACAAGTATTACATATACTGAGGCAAGACTTTTTTCTATATTTCGGCAGGAAACTTTACTATATTGTTATTATAAGTAACACGACCTTTATTTCCTTACGAGCATAAGCTATATTTCTACAAGAACATAATTTTTGAAAGTGAAAAAGGTTAATTCAGAAGTAGCACCACATGACATAAAAACTCACAATGACAAGAAATATAGACGGACAGCTCGATAGCAATTATCTGATCTTGGGTCATGCACAACCTCACATTCGTTTAAAACATATGCATATCTGGAAACAATAAGGACTAGTTCAATGACAATATGTAAATGTAAGGAACATAGTTTGCCTTTCTAAAAAGCGACTTATAGCAGACAACGTTTGATACATATACATACAAGGTTTATTACATGGAAGTTCCATTAATAAAGTACATTTGTAATTAAACATTTGCAAAGAATATTCTATAAAACAGCCAGTATTATTTTTCTTTTTTGATTTAAATATTTTTTTCTTTCGAAATGAAAACATGCACACAATTACAATGCACAGAATTATACATTGCATTTAAAATTGAGTAAAGAGTAACAAAAGCTTATGCCACCATTTTTTGGCGACATAACGGACGTCAAGGTTTCCGGACGTTACATACAAAGTGTACAAAATAAGTAACTTTATAAAGAAGGTAACAGCATTTGAAGTAAATATAATGATAACCATAAATATTCCGGATTAAAGATATTAATTGAAATAACCATTCTTGAGAATAAACCATATAACAATATAACCATATAACTTCGGTTTTTTCTAAATCCTGAATAATTTCTAAAATGATAGAAGTGAATTTGTATCTGTGATCTGACGGTAGCTGTGAAATAATAAATATTCCTTAGTACACTCAGGCAGGCATTTTTCTCATCTGTACTCGAGATCCTTTTCGTAACTACAGATTTTGTTTCAAGAATATCTAATAATTTCATTATTTTAAGTATTCGTTAAATTTCGACACAAACACATTTGTATCAACTGTCGATTTCAATGAAATGTCTATTCTTTCACCTGTCGTATTCTGTCAAGTGTCTTCGTCGGTCTTGTTTGAGGAGAATACGAGCATATGTGTGAACTAAGAATATCGTAATTATATATCTTTATTCATCATCATTATAACCATTCTCAATTGTTTAATAATCATTAATCATTTTGCAATCTTTTCAAATATACACGTCTAATTATACTATTAAAAATGCAGCATTTTTAGTTAAAACACCTTACTCAGATGCAAATGAATTAAAATGATTAATCTAGCACAGTATACATGTATTAATTGCAATTCAGGGGGTACATTTATGCAAACAATTTATTGCGTATGTTTTGTTAAAACAAGAGTGTGGTATTTGTAAAAGTAAGTTCCGCAATAACTACTCGTTTATGTGTGTATACAAAACATCAGAAGCGCCCGCGTTCATGTTTTGAGAAACAACAAATTTGTTGTTATTGATAAACGCATGGGGGTATAAAGCCCTTACATCATAAATGCACTAACGGTCCCCATATCAAAAATTGTTTCTTAATCTGAAGAACGTAGAAGGTATCCGGAAAACGTTGAAAGTCCACTACCGGCGAGTTTTCCTGATTTATCCGATTTCACAGCAACAACATCACCTTCCTGTAATGAAACAACAGTCGTGCCGCCATTTTGACTGTACCCACAATATAATCGTTCACCAAGTATTGTTCTCTCTCTATGATCACAAACACTGTTGAGAAGATAGTACGTTTTGCCGCGTGATTCACTGATTATTTCAAGATAGGCCTCAACATAGCTTCCTCTCTCACATGCAATGGTCAGTGCAAATATATAAGTTCCGGAACGCAAACATGTAAACTGTGAAGACCTCTCATCAAATGCACTGCCAATATTTGTGATGTCTATCTCAAATGGTATATTCTGGCCACTGTCTACAGACACGGCGTTGTATAATGTCGAATGAAAGCCTACCTCACCTCCTGTGTAAAAGTAAAATATGTATTACTCACTTCTTTCCTATTATATCAAAATTATACAAATAATAATTTAAAACGAAACATTCATTACGTTGATATAATCAGAGTTGTTAACATTTTTTAAACTCATATTAGATCAAATACTTTTCCATTACTGCATCGTAGAATACATTATGTGTATATGCATTTTATAAAGAGCGATCAGTGATAACAAGTGTCGCCAGATGATAGCCAATGAAGCTATTTTCATAGTTGTTTTAAGATGTGATTGACCAGATTGTTCTTTTTATGTAGCCGCTAAATCATTATAAGGCCATAAAAGAAGACAGAAAAATATCACAGAACGTATTTTTATTCATGAGGAACTGGAAAACTCATTAATTGTGCGCAAGTAATTCAGGCGTCGTTCAATTTTGTAAAATGTACTGAAATCACATTTCGTAGTATTAGTGAGATAGTAAGAACAAAATTAACAAGAGCACCGCTAGGCGGAGCATAATATGCCCGAAAGTGTTTTTTTTCTTTACTAAGGATGAAGCATTTGTAAGACATTACATAAAAATTCAATAAAGTATTACCTCATTCAAATAGCAATCCTCCTATAAAGTTTGAATATTGTGGGCCAAATGGAACTTAAGTTATGCCCTGGAAACTGTTTTTAGTTTTGAGATAATAGCTACCTTGAAATTTGACCGTGTGACCCCAAAATGAATAGGGGTGTTCTACCCAATATGGACAATCATCCTATGAAGTTTCAACACTATGGGCCAAATAGATATTTAAGTTATGTTCTTGAAACTGTTTTCAGTTTTAAAGTCATAGTGACCTTGACCTTTGACATTGTGACCCCAAAATCAATAGGGGTCTTCTACTCAGTATGGACAATCATCCTATGAAGTATGAATATTGTGGGGCAAATAGATCTTAAGTTATACCCTAGGAAACTGTTTACAGTTTTAAGGTAATAGTGACCTTGACCTTTGACCTGTGACCTTAAAATCAATAGGGGTCTTCTACCCAATATGGACAATCATCCTGTGAAATTTGAATACTGTGGGCCACATGGACCTTAAGTTATACTCCAGAAACTGTTTTCATTTTTAAAGTAAAAATGACCTTGCCCTTGTGACCCCAAAATCAATAGGGGTCTTTTAACTAATGTGGACAATCATCCTATGAAGTTTGAATACTGTGGGCCACATGGAACTTAAGTTATGCTCCGGAAACTGTTTTCAGTTTAAAAGTAATAATGACCTTGACCTTTGACCTTGTGACCCCAAAATCAATAGGGGTCTTCTACCCAATATGGACAATCATCCTATGAAGTTTGAATACTGTGGGCCACATGGAACTTAAGTTATGCTCCGGAAACTGTTTTCAGTTTAAAAGAAATAATGACCTTGACCTTTGACCTTGTGACCCCAAAATCAATAGGGGTCTTCTACCCAATATGGACAATCATCCTATGAAGTTTGAATGTTGTGGACCAAATGGAACTTAAGTTATGCTCCGGAAACTGTTTTCAGTTTTAAGGTCATCGTGACCTTGACCTTTGACCTTGTGACCCCAAAATCAATAGGGGTCTTCTACCCAATATGGACAATCATCCTATGAAGTTTGAATGTTGTGGGCCAAATGGAACTTAAGTTATGCTCCGGAAACCAAATTGCTAACGGACGGACGGACAGACGGACGGACGGATAGACAGACGGACGGACGGACGGACGGACGCCAGGGGGTATAACATAATATGCCCGAAATTCTTTCGGGCATATAAAAAGAAAAAACAACATTAAAGGGCCATAAATCTGACACATATCAAAAATCTATGTAATGCCGTCGATATGCACAACTAGACTTGGTACTGATCATTCCTGTAATTTGTGGATTAAATTGTACAATTAGTTTTTGACAAGAAGGCTGGACAAGTTTTGTGACGGACTGTTGTACAGAAGAACAGACAGACGTGTAGGTTACCAGGTGACGACTACCCGTGATGATGATGATAATGCTAAAACTTTTAGTACCGATATTGATCACCATTCCTTTAGCCAAAATGTAAGATTTCCCCGATTTGCAAGCAAACTTTCTACGTTCGAAAACACAGTTTCAATGGACAGTTAATTGATTTGTCGGTTTGCTGAATATCATAACAGTTGTATCCAAAAATTTAAAAGCTAATTAACTATTTAGTTCATAGTTTAATACAATGTTAAAACACCTGAAATCCCCCTTCACTGAAAATCGACGAAAATAAACTTCCCCTCCAACACGTACAGTTCCCCAAATGCAGGGAGATAAGCCTTTGTAATATCAATGATTTTATATACATACTGTTAGTGAAAGAGGTTTATATTTATTTGATTTACAGAACTGCATAATAAACTAATATAATTTTAAGTTCATTTTATTAAAAAAACTTACCTGAATACAACACATCAATATAGCCTCTCTTCTCCACATTAGGGACTAGATTTGTTCCGAATTCTAGAAAAAGAAATACTGATAATTTACAGAACCTTGAAATTATGGAAAGACATTAGCAAAATTAAATATATAGAAGACCATTTTTATCTACATCAAAAATGAGTGAAATATATTATAATACGTTCAACTTCCAGATTTTTATACTTCACAACAGCAGGTGTCAAGTGTTGTGTGGCAGCTGTAAAAGTTGCCGTGTACTTCACTTCAGTGTTGTTATATTTTTCGGGACTTTCGGTATCAGCACTATTAAGTGTTGTGAATTGAGTACCGCTCAAGACGGTGCTAGGGGGCGTTTACAATGTACCAATCGTTTGAGCGATTGAACTTGTTCCTCATTTATAATATAACAAAAATGAACCTTTAAGTATAAGGAAGAAACGTACCATGCAGAAATGAGTACAGATAAAATATTGCATAACATCGGATAGCACTCTTATTTATATCTTTCCAATATATCAGAAAACGTTTTCACTATATGTGATGATTCAGCTATCCGGTTTTTAAGTTGGGTAAAACGCATGTTTTAGAACATGTTTTGGTCATATCCCGTTAGTCTGTCAACCTTACCGTTATTACTTAATAACTAGCTAGTAAATACCAATTTTGATGCAAGTGACCTACTATTAATCTAAAAAGATTTCTAAATCATTTGTGAGAGACAAATGATCCTGACGCGCAATATCTGAGATAATATATTACAGAGAAATTTCGCCTCATCCGCGGAACAAACAAGAACCCACGATCCTCTTCTTATTGGCCTAGGCTATTTAGAGTAAGAAACTTATATACCTGTATTTGAAGCTTGTTCTTGTGCAAGTTTTCTAAGCAGGATTTTGGCAGTAGTTTCTAGGTCTTTTATTCTGGAATGTAACTCTTCTACAGTTAAACCATCATCCTGCTGACCATAAAAACACGCAACCCTCATCACCAAAACAACATATAACAACCAATATAACATCGTTGATGAACTGTAAATAAAGTTTGCGGTTATCATATAGCATAGAATTTAAAATTCTCAAACAGATCAGCTGGTGCACTTAAAACAAAAGATACCCAAGAATGATAAAGAAATATACTGAGTCTAGTACTACTCAGAAGTAAATTGAAAATCGAATTTTTTTTCTTTTGATACCCGATTTGAGCGAAAACTGAACGGAAAGAGTTTTATGCCATTTTAAGCTTTTTTCTCAATCCGTAAAAAATATTTTATGTAATTTATATAAATGTAAATTACAAATTAATATTGTTTAAATTGAAAGCGATGAAACGATTATCGAGTTTTACATATTGTTTATTCGGAACTGACATATCTATTCTAGAAACTCAAATTGAGCGTTTTTTATCTCGACATACGCCACATTGTTCATTGATCTCGATATTCTAAGTTTCGTCATTTCAAATTTATACATGTTGTTCAAAGTATGTATTAAATAGATTAAAGTAACGTAAAGTGAATTGTCTGGGACTTACAATTCGAGGACATGAACTGTTGTTTTTCAGATCTATATAATATATTTATATCAGTAAAGGTCCATCATATCTCGAAAATGCATTTATTTTCATTTTTCAAAGGCTTTTTTATGTTTATGTGTCGTGTTGAAATTCTTAAAAAATACTTATTTTCTGATGATCTGATTTATGTTTTGCTTCTGTTGCTTTTTGAAAATTAGTAAAATAGTAAAATTATTTTGAAAGGAAGTTATAATACTACTTTGTTAAAATTTTCTACTTCATGACAAAGAATTTCACATTCAGTGTTTTTTCCCCAAATGTCACGTATCTTATATGCCCTAAAACCATTTCATAAATGCTTTAAGACAAAATGTCCCCCTTTTAAAAGTTGAAAATGTGTATTCGTTTCTGGACATTAATGTGTCTTCAATGAAAGTAAAAAGTAAATATAGCCAGCCTTTCTGTCACTTTATGTTGCTCTCACATTTTTGAATACGTTAGAATGCCTTTTATAATGGTAATTAACCTAAAATGTATATTGACAAAATAAATGTTTAGGATAAAAAAAAAATCAAATTATAAAAAGACGACCACAATACATAAAACAGACAGATTAAACAAACTGCATATTTGTTGTAAGAAAATGCCAGTCAAAAGGGGACAATTTCTTTAGATTGCATAAGAAGCGCCATATAAATTAAGGCAAATATACTGGTGCGCTTTCTTTTCTTAAACATAGAACAGTTGACTGAAAGATGATATTTTTATCATACCTTTCTTTGTATTATACATGATTTATACGATATATTTAGAAATGACGTACAAAAAAATAAAATCAACTTAAATTTAAATAACAGGACCATTGACATAAAGTATGCAACTTAGAGTAAAGTTACATAAAAGTGGCATTATGGCAATCCAAGTGTTAAGGCTGAGTGTACAGTTAAGAGTCATGACTTTATATTTTGCTATAATTGTGTTCAATTTCATAATTAACTGTGGAAAAATAATGTATAAACATTCACAAAGACATGTGAAATAGTCAACAATATACAAAAACCTTTATAAGCCCAAACGGGGACGTTATTGCTCATATTTACCACAGTAACGTATAATTCAGTTCGTTCATATCTTATTATTTATCACTTATATTTCATATTTTGTTACATATAACCAACATTGTAGCACATATCAATTGCATGGCTATATCATTTAAATTCCCCTGTAGCCAAGTGAGTTAATTGTGTGTCTGTTTTTGTGATAAGGTAATTTGTAGTATACAATTCCGTTAGTTTAGATTCTCATTTAAATTCTGTCTGTCCTTACGTATGGCCCATCAACAAGATCTAAAACTCCGTAATTGCTATAGACTCATGAATATGTATTAAGTACAACGCACTGTATACGTATTCCGTGATGGTATATGATATCATGAAATGGAATATGATTTTCTTAATGTCTCCATTTCATTTATATGATGCAAAACTTATGATACGATCAGCAATTGACTTACTATAAACGTAAAAAAGACATGATGAATGAATGACGTCCTTGGAATTATAGATGGAATCATGAAAGTGTCATAAAAAACTACTATTACGAAACCTAATTTAAATAGACTTAGCTGGTCTAAACAGGGTATTATTTATAAACTTTATTGTGAGACACAAATTTCAAGCAAAAGATAAGACTTTTGATTTCATTCTATTTCTTCAACAAAAAACTATTCCAACAAACGGATGGACAAATGGAAAAAGGATGGTAAACATTATAACGACCTGAAATATTTTATTCTTGCATATTAGACTGGCGTTTCCGTGAGTTTTACTCATGCCGGAAATTTCATCTTGCATGGGGGTGCCAGATGAGTCGCGTGCTGCACAATGTCACGCTTAGGATGACGTCATTTTACCGTTATGAATGAAGTTGTAATTCATACGCTGTTGTAAGAAAGTAGTAACGGTTGTTATGATATAAATTTCCATTGAAATTAAAAATAAAGAATTAAAAATATAATGGAATATAAAAGATTATGCATGACAAAATATCTGACATATGTTTGCGGTTCGGATCGGATATTCGTCCCTCGGTCCCCGGGCCCAAATGGGGGGTAACTGGCCCAACCCGGCCTCGACCCTTCACGGTTGTGTCCAAAAAATATAAACAGTAATTATTAATTTTGGGTTATAACAACTTGGAACAAATTAGAAATAACAAATAAAATATTGGCGTACATTGGAATTAAAGAAACATTTACCGAAGATTTTATTTCATCATTAACATAGATAGAATTAAAAATAACAATACTACGATTCTACAACAGTCATATAACATATATAACAATGTAAGGTGGTGCAACTCTAAAAGGCAATATAAGTAATTGAAATAATGACAGAATAGACTTAGGTGAGTTGCATTCCTTAAAGATTACCTGTATTACATACTGAAACAATGTTTATCGTACGGCGTTTGGCTTATGAACATATGAAATATTTTCCAATTGACTATTGCTAGGAAACAAATAATAGCATTCAGATAACCTACCACACAAGTGAAGAACATGTTTGACTATTTTCCTGCTAGGAGTTACAGTTTCAAAATTTTCACGTAAATTTACTTAATTTAGGCGCTGATTTCCAAATTTACCGAAATTTCTTAGATTAATTAGAAATTGATGTTGAAAAACATATCATGTTACCGTACCATTTGGTTTTGATCAATGATACTATATGATCAAATTAATTTTAATATTTGAAAATATTGATAATTGAATATTGATAATTGTCATACAGTCTCAATAAATGTACATCGTTTGACAGAGGGAGAAGATATGTTAAGATTACATAGTGTGTGCATTTGCTAATTAAACTAGAAATATTCTGAGATATTTTTCTATATTACAATAAATTTCTTCAATACAAGTATGTTAAAAGTTCCATTCCATACGGCGCCTTTGCTATTCACATCCTTTAATTTACCGACGCATCTTTACAAGAGCAAAATATAAGAACATGTCCTCGTTTTGCGCAAAATTATATACTATGTTAAAAATAAAAATAAGAACTGTTCAATTTACAAATAAGAAGGAAAACACGAGCCGGTAGGATTAATTGAATACAGGCATGCATTTATCAAACAAAATTGGGGAACATAAAACTCAATATAATGACTGTATGCCGTAATGACACATTTTATTGGGAACAAACACATATTCACATCAATGAAATACAATTTTGTTTAAAGTCAATTGTTTGATGAAAATTAAACATTCCAGATAGCTCACGAGATGTTCTTATTGTCGATACTCCTGCAGCGCTTTTGCAACAGGCATTACTTACTTCCCGACAATGTTCTGCTCCCCCCGGCTTTACCTATCCGTGACCTTGTATTTGCCGTCTTTGAGTCATTTTTGACAGCTGAAAACAGGTGACCTGCTGACAGATCAATTTCAATTCGTTAATTCTACCTTTTCGTATTCGTTGGCAAAATTTATCGATCGCGCGAAAGTGTCATATTTCTAAATTTACGCTACTGGCATCTGCTGTTCAAAACTTGTTTGCTTAGACTTTAATGTCCAAATGAAGCCAATTTTACAAAATTATGTTACCTAAATATCGACTGACATTTTTCCGCATTTCTACCTTAAAGAAGATTCATTTTATTAAAAAATGCTTAATCATTCAATTAAGAGTTTAATCAGTTGTTTGAACTTCGGTAATAGTTTTTGTTCGTCACACACTGTGTTATGGCACTACTGCCAAATTATTTGGTACCCTACCAACCTTTTTTACCAAGGTAAAAAAGAAGGAATGCTTATTTCCGACATATGACCATATCAAAGACATTGCAATTGCTACAAATCTACTTGTTTATACACTGTCTGAGGAACATCTGTAACATTGCACACTTATTATCACATCCCCTGGCGAATTTACAGACCGCACTTCACTAAAAATATATCCAATGAGGTTCAATGGTCTTCAACAATTAGAAGTCCTCGTATATCTAAATACAATTCACCCAAAAATCAAAATTCATTTTCCTATCCTTACGTATAATTTATCATTAAACGCCACGTCCATCATATCTTTCATTTGCTATAAAATTATGTATTTTATATTCATATTTATTCTTCTTATTGTAAGTTTAAATTGAAGTTAAGAGTATAGACTTATGGTGTATATTAACATCACACACTATTCTGTTTTGAAATAACCTTGGTTAAAAGTGTGTAAGCCAAACGTCTATGATTTTCTTAACTGATAAAAAATATCATTGTCGTGAAATTCTGTAGCCAAATTACGTTTTATGAAGCGAAATTGATAACTTACAAATAAACGGAAATTAATCTGAAATTCTAAATCTAAAACAAAAACATAATTACGCCAAATATTGTACAAATAAACAAAATACTTAAAAATTGAAAAATAAGCAAAAACAGTTCGGAAGAGTTATATCACCCACACTGTGAGTGCAATAATGTGTATGATATTGATATATTTATAAGAAAAAAATAAATACATATTTAAACAGCTTTAACTCTGGTGAGTTTTTTTCTCAAGTATTTAAACAGATAAATTAAATGATTCATGACTATTTACCAAGAGTGCTAGTTTCAGAATAATCATAAATAAATATATTTGTACTATTACGTACATTCTTTTTGATACAAGCGTCATAGTATAAAACTTAATTCACTTTACGGTGCTATCCTACTTTATCTACTTAAAATGTTCCTTTCGTATAATTAAAAAAATATAATATTTTTTTTCTAAAATATTTTACATCTTTAGATATATAAATACAAACTAATAATAATATGCAGATAACTTACCTGTGTTTATAAAATATCAGTACAGTTAACAAGCTTTTACTGCCTTTGAATATGCTTCACGTTTAAGAGATTTCTGATTTATTTAAATCGTGGGAACAAAAAGCCGAGGGCGTGTAAACAGGGTTTAAATTTTTAAATGAAAAAAGGAATTTTCAAAAAGGCCCAAAGCCAAAAATATTGGGGGGACTTCCCATAAATTTAAATTATCTTTCCTTTTTTGGATTTTTTAACAGTTAGGCAAAAAAAAATAAGTTTTTGGGTTCTTTTTCTCCCCCCTTTTACCTCCCCAACTAAAGGTCAGGGGTTTCCCTTTTTTTAAAAACCAATAAAAACGGGGCATTTCCAAAAAAATTTTTTTAAAATTGGATATAAAACAATATTTTCCAAAAAACCCATAAAATTTTTAAAATAAAATAAAAAAAGCAAAAAAATTTAATTTTTTTTTTTTATAAAACTTCCCTTCAAACCAAAAACGGGTGGGCCAGGGGGGGAAAAAAAAGATTTTTTTTTGGGGTTGGGGTTTTAAAACGTATTTTTGGGTAACTTTTGCATTTAAAAAAAATATGTTGCGGAAAATTAAAATTTCATAAAAATAAAGGGGTTTCCTGTCAAGTTGCCCGGGTTTTAAAAAGTATTTTGGAAACCCTTCCTATTTTGTTTTTCCAAAAAAGGGCGGAACACTGCCCACAAATTTTTTTCTTTTCTTTTTTTCCCATGTCACCAACAAAATTTACCCAGTTTTTTTTTTAAAGGGGCCCTAATTTTTGGGCATTGGGCCCCATTTGCTTTTTTTGGGGGAGGGAATAACCCCAAAAAACACATAAAATTTAAACAAAATAACTGGGGGAACAGGAAAAACTAAATTTTTAAAAATTCTTTTATTGATCAAGGGCTTCCAAATTGACAAATAAAAAACCACATTCAAAAACGGGAAAAAAAAACCTTATAAAAATAAAAAATTTTAAACAACAATTTTTATGGGAAAGTGCCCAACTCGGGTTAAATTTTAAAATGCTTTCCCAAATAAATTTGGGAAAAATTTTAAAAAAACTTTTAAATTCCCAAAAAAATTAGATTGCCCCCACTTTTTTAAAAAAGGGTGTTAAAAACGAACGATGAATTAAACCCAAATTTAAATTGTTTTTATTTTCCCCAAAAACGTTTTAAAAAAATTGGGAAAAAATTTTCAAATTTTTTTCAGTCCCTTCTTTTTAAAATTTTCCCGGGAAAAAGGGGGGCTTTTTTTAAACCCTTGAAAAAAGGGGAAATTTTATCAAGAAATTAAAAAAATTTTAAGGGAATTTTTTTTTGGGGGGTTTTTTGGGCTCATGAAAGTTTTTAAAAACTTTTCGAATATATTTTTTGAAATTTTTTTGGATTTTCATAAATGGCCTTTTAATTTTTTAAAATTTTTAAAATTTGTGAAAATAAAAACACTTTTTAAGGGAAGGGGAAAATTTTTTTTAAAAATTTTTGAAACTTTTTTCCCCTTTTAAAAAACCCGGCACTTTCTTTAAATTTTTAATTTTTGCGCCCAAGCCAAATGAAATTTTTTACATGCCCTTTTAATGAAAAAACTTAAAAACCGGTATATCTTTTTTGGGAAAAATCCGTAAACAAAATTTTAATTTTAATTTCAAGGGATTCCCAAAATTTTTGAAGGTTTTTGTTATTTTAATTTAGTTTTGTATAGTTTAAACGGTTAAAACTTTTTAACCAAACAAAAGAACAAGAGGAGGTTTCTTTAATTAAATTTTTATATTAAGCCCCTTTGCATTAAAAGCAAAGTTTCGAGTTTTTTTTTTTAATTTTTTCCTTTCCACAAAATAAATAAAATTTTTAAAAAAAAAAGGCTAGAATTGAGGGAAATGTAAAAATTAAAATTTTTATTTTTAAATTCTCTAGACAAAGGGAAGGGCAACTTCTTAAAAAGTCCCAAAATTCAAAAAGAAACGTTTTTATTTTTTAGACCCCACCAGTGAAGGGTTAATAAATGAAATAAAAAACACCAACGGGGGAAAGGGGGGAACATTAAAGAACGCTATATATTTTTTTAAAATGAAAACCCAACAACATATGGAAGATCGAAAAAACCCAAAATTTTACAAAAACATAAAAATTTATTTAAAACTTAAAAATTTTAAAAAAACCAAAATATTACTTCTGTAAATAAACATAAAAAGCCAAAAACCCCTTGTGAACTATTTAAAACCCTTTTTTTAATCCCAAAAATTAAAAGCATTTTGGCAAGGTTATTTTTTAAAAATTTGGGACTTACAAATGTTTTGGGGCCCATTTTAAATAAGTATTTAAAACGCCCTTTTTATAAAAAACTGTTTTTCAAAGTATTTTCATTTTAAAAATTGAAATTTAAATAAAAGTTGGGAAAATTTAAAATTTTAAAAATTTAATAGTTTTTTTTTTAATAGGGGAAATTCCCCTTTTAAAACCCCCCCCGGAGTTTTTCCTTTTTCCAAATTAAATTTTTTTTTTTTATTTTTTTCCCCAAAGTCCCGGGAAGGGGTATTTTCCTTATGTTCGTTAAAAACCTGGTTTTAAATTATTTTTTATTGGGCAAAAAACCTTTTAAAATTTAAACAAAAATTTTAAACCACATTATTTTAAATGTTTTCCAGGGGTTCACGTTCTTTACATTTTTCCTTCATTTTTAGTTTAAATTCTTTCCTTTTTAATTTTTTTTCCAGGGAAGGGGAAAATTTCGGGGAAATTACTTTTTTTCCCAAATTTAGTGAAAAATGTAAAGGACTTCAATTTTAATGAGCGGAAAAAAAAAGGGAATTTAAATTTTAAAACTTTTAGGGTTTAAAATTGAGCTTTGGGTTTTTTATTTTTCTTTTTGTAAAAAATTGTTTTGGGGGCATCGATATTTTCAAACCCCGTTTTCTAAAGTTTTTGGTAAAATGTCTTGGGAAATTGTTTAAAACGAGTTTTTTTAATTTTAAACCCAAAAGCCGAGGGGAAAACTAAATTCACCAGTGACAAAATCAGGTTTTACTTTTAAATGAAAATTGTCCGTTTTTTAAGTAGATAAAACTTTGTATAGGTTTTAAACATTTAAGTTTGGGAAAAAGGCTTTTTTAGATAATTAAAAGGGCGAAAATTTTAGGGAGGGTTTTAAAATTATTTTTTTAAAAATCATTTTTTTATCTAGAAAAAAATTTTTTTTTTTTTTCTTCAAGTTAAATTTCTTTAAAAAAATTTCTGTCATAGGGAATTTTATCACTTTAGTTTTTAAATAAAATTTTGGTTGGGGGCTACATAAATATATTTTATATCATTTCATAAAAAATTAACCCGGGAAACCAAAATTTGGAGTTTGGTTTCATTAAAAAAGGGCAAACCTAAAGCAAAATTTTGAAAAAAAAAATTTAATTTCCCAAACCATCTCAAATTATTTTCAAGTTTGAAAAAACCGGGGGTTTAGGGCAAAAAAAAAAAATTGGGGGCAAACTTTTACTTTTTAAAGTCTTTATTTTTTTAAATTTTTAAATTTTTTTTTGGCAATAACATATTTTTGGGTTTTCTTTAGATTTATGTTTTTCTGTGGGGAAAAAATTTTTTTACGATGTATTTTTCTAAAATTAAAAATTTTTTTAAAAGGGGTTTTAAAATGAAAAACCCATTTTAAATTTAATTTTGGGGTGGGGCAACCCCCAAAACAAATTTAAAAAGGATTTCATTTTATTCCCAAATTGAGGGATTTTAAAATTTAAATTTTAATGGGGGAAAACTTTAAACCCCCCAAAAACGTAATAAAAACAGATTTTTAAAAGGTATAGTTTTGGGGTATTGATTTTGGAAACAAAATACATTTGAAAACATGCAACCCCAGGGCAGAAAAGCCCCACCCACCCCCCTAAACTAAATTATATATATTCTTAAAATTAAACCCCAAATGGGCAAAACAAACGTCTTTTAAATTAAGAAATTTTTGGGAAAATTAACAGCTAAAAGGGGGGGCCCCGAACCAAAGAATAACTTTAACCCTTTTATTTTTCCTGTATTATTTTCCAAAATTTAAATTTTCCCGGGGGTTGGGGGCCCTAAAAAGAATTTTAAAATTTAATGGAAAAACTTAAAAAGATTTAACTTAAGTAAAAAAGGGGCCCGGCGCATGGGTTGGGGCACGGGAACATTGGGGCATTTTAGGGGAAAATAGGGGAAAATTCTTTGACATCTTTTGAAATGGGATCAAATTTTTTAAAAAAATTAAAAAAACAAAAAATTTTTAAAAATATAGAAATTCTTCTGAAAAAATACATATTCATGATAACAAATAAAGAATAAAAGCGGAGAAACAGAAATTTTAAGGTATTTCATTTTTATTGATATTCAAAATGTCAATTGACGCTACATGCTTATTGTCAAAGTTGACATTTAATATGTGTCTTTCATAAAGTAAATTTTACAGTAGATCTAGTTGTAGTAGTTTAAAGGAGCCTATTTTTGGTTTTCGTATTCCAGATTGTTTTGTTCAGACCCCCCTCTTAACTTTACAAAGAGATAATTTTCATCTAAACTCTTTCCAGAATCTATATCTTTTCAATGAGATAAGCAACTTAATTTTGGGCTAAGCAACTAAAACCACTTATCCATTAAGCCCCTTCTGCTTCCCAATTCTAGACAAAAATAGCTTAAATTAGTTATTAGAATTTAACACCTTTGCCCGATTTACATTGTACTCATTATAAAGAATAAAATACATATCAAGACTTAAGCTAAAGCATTAAGCCTCATTCATCTAAAAAACACATATTGAACAATCAAGGACTATGTCTTCAAGATGAGTGTCACTTTACAATAACAAAATAGTTTACAAACCGTTTTAATTACTGTCCAACCGTCACCCATAAAATGACCAGTTTGAATATTCAACCATTTAACTGGCAAACAATTATTAACGTCATTTTCGAATATTCATTAATGATAATATATATTCAAAATGGTACAGAACCTAAAAACTAAAGAAATATCTTACTTAACGCATTGTTTAACGGTTGTTATGGAAACAATCTTCCTGTCAAGCTTTGTGTAATAGGACATTAACACGGAAACTATTTTTACTGGAACATGCATTAAA